CATACACATCCTTTAATCTCTCATGTAAACTCATGTTGTCATGCCCTTTCTGAAGAATTTGGACTTGAAGGCTATCATCCAATTTCAAAACACTTTGTTTTGGTTAGGCAACCTGAGGAAGAAAAGATATATAAACCAAAATCTCTACATGTTTCCAAAATATGTCCCTTTGCATTTTGAATTAAAAAAATGAGAAGAGGCTGGGTGTTAGTAAAGATTGTCACTGGAAACCAAGGTCAAAATCGTCTGGGCTTTTTTAAAGATGAAGTGACCTCAGTGAAGAAAGACAAGGGGAAAAAATCAACTCTTTTGAAACGTGGTGTTGGAGGACAGCCTTACAGATACCACGGACCACCAGAAAAGCAGATGAGTGGGTACTCAATCAAGTGAAGCCTCAACTCTCATTAGAGGAAAAAACAGGTAAACTGAGGCTATCCTATGATGCACATATTGTATAACGAGAATATAGAACTAACTGGTAGAAAGGTGGTGTGGCCAATAGGAGGCAAGGAAAATCTAACATGAGATTGATTGATTGAATAAAGGAATGCACAGGTGTTAGTTTTCAATACCTGAGCAGAACCCCAAGATTGGGAAACTCTACTACTCAGCTGCACAACAAAAGAAAAGAGGGGTAGCTTTATATGTGAAAGAAATGCTAAACTCTAAATATATCTATTCTGATGAAGAAGGGAGAATCTTAATGATAGAAATAACAATAACCTCCCCCAAATATTCTGATGATTGCAATATATGCACCTAACAGTAAACAAGAAAAATTCTATCGCAAGCTATATAAAACAATATTGGAAAAAGTATATCAAAATATTTGGATATTAGGAGAGTTTAGTGCAATTATTAATGAGGGATTTGACTACAAAAGTGGTAAAAAAGGGGGAAAGGGAAGGAAAAGTCTTCCAAAAATTTTCTTTCGGATGGCAGAAGAACTAGGACTACATGATATATAGAGAGAAACAAATACTAAAAGCTCTAAATTTACTTTCTACTGAAACAGGCATAAATCCTGTTTGAGAATAGATATGATCTGGCTATCCTCAGAATTAAAAACCGAAATGCAGGAAGTAGAAATAGAAACCAATATCTGGGCAGATCATAATCCAACGAAAATGCGATGGAAAGGAGAGAAAAAAAGAAAAGAAAAGATGGACCTTAAACCAGGGTATATTGAAGGATAAAGAATTTGTGAAAAGAACTATAAAAGAAATGGAATTCTTCTTCAAAGAAAATAAAGAAGAGGAAACATCCCTCCGAACGATTTCGGACACAACTAAACATATTTCAGAGGATTCACCGTGTCATATATAGCCAAAAGGAATAAAGATAAAAACCAACAACTTACAAAACAGAAGGATTTAAGAAACTGGAGCTAGTACTAGAAAAGGAACCGCAGAGGAAAATTCTTAAAAACCAGATGGAGATAGTGAAACCTAAATTAAACCTAATAGAACCAGAAGAATTAGCTCAACAAGTTAAAAGGGCTAAACAAAATTTCTTTGAGAATGTCAACAAACGTGGATGATGGCTATCCTATAGATTGAAAAAAGAAAAAAAGATTAATAAGGAAGCTACAATATGAAAATGAAGATGTACAATATCAAAAAGAAAAAATAACAAATAACAAAAGAATATTATGCTAAGAATTTTTCCTTGGAAAAACAATGCAATATGTTGAAAAAGCAAACCTTCCTAAAGTACCAGAAAACATTAAAAATCTCCTAAATGAGAAAGTAAAAATGATGGAAGTATTAGAAGCCATTAAAAAAAAGAAATGATAAGACCCCAGGAACCGATGGATTTCCTGCAGAATTCTATAAATCCTTCCAATATATATTAAGCCTACCAATAAAAGAAGTTTGCAACAAAGTTCTGTTAGAAGCTAAAATACCCAAGACGTGGCTAGAGGCATACATCACCCTGATACCAAAAGAAGACATGGACTCTACACATATAAAAAAATTTAGACCAATTTTTTTTTGCCAAAAAGACAACTAAGGTACAACCTAAGGATAATCTTAGACATATTAGAATATTATGAGGAGAATACAGAGAAATGAATGGCACTAATCTTCCTGGATGCCCAAAAAGCATTTGATAATATGAACTGGCAATTTATGATACAGCAAATAAAAGCTATGGATTTTGTCAAAAACTTCATAAATGTTATTGAAACAATTTATAATGAACAAATAGCTAAAGTAATTGTAAATGGTGAATTGATGGATAATATTAATATTTAAAAAGGCATTAGACAGGGATGTCCGCTCTCTCCATTGTTATTCATATTAACTTTGGAAGAACAGTCAACCGTCGACTTACGAATGGCCCTAGCTATGAACATTTCGACATGAACCACTCTGATAGGAAAATATTGCCTCCACTTGCGAACTTTGCTTCGAGTTATGAACTCTTTTCTTTCCTTTCTTTTAACCTAAATCATCTTAGGTTAAAAGGAAAAAAAGAAAAAAAATCTGCCCCTAGTGGTAGGAATAGATTAACCTATGGGAACTAATGCTTCAACTTACAAACCGCCCCTTGACCTAAAAACCAAAAACAGGTGGAAAGGATTAATTGGTTTTCAATGCATTCCTATGGGAAATGCTGATTCAACTTACAAACTTTAAAACTTACAAACGGATGAATGTCGTAAGTCGAGGGTTGACTGTATTAAATAGGAATGTGAGGAATGATCCAGAAATCAAAGGCACCAAAATAAAGGGCGAGAATTACAAATTACAAGCATTTGCAGACAACGTGGTGTTTATTTTGGAAGATCTGTTGGAATCAACATTGAGACTATTGGAGAAAACTGATGAATTCAGAGAAGTAGCAGGATTGAAAATAAACAAAGGAAAAACCAAAGTATAGTGAAAAATGTAACAGCCAAACACTAAAGTCAACTCTCAGAGATGTCAGACCTACAAATACTTTAAAAAGTAAAATACCTTGTGTAGCGTTTTCTATTTATTTGATCAATGGTCTAGGTTATGTAATATAATGGGTAATGAATATTAATGTTGCAGAGAGGCGGAGCTGAGATAGATGCTATGAGAGGCGGATCCTGAGTCAATATTTCAGAGTGTGTGGAGATTAAGTCAGTTTGAGAGAGTGAGAGAAATGTAAGAGTCTG